TTCAGAACTCCATTTGAATATGAATCAGTGGTCGCCGGGCGGAAAACAGCCGACACAAAGACTCCTTCACTGTGCCCCCCCTTACTTCCTGAAACCAGCCGGCCTTCTTCATGAAGACCGTTTTCTTTTCTTCCCTGTTGAAAGACGCTGAGAGTCTAAAGCTGCTGACAACAGGAGGAGGAGGAGGGGGAGTGGGGGTGCGCCCCGGCCTCCTTTCAAACAGCTCGGAGGTCTGGACTGAACCCAAACAGCAGAGCTGATCCAGGACTCCTAAAAGGCCCGACTGTGGGAGAAAATGTGAAAGGAGCAGGACGAAGAGGAAGACATGGTGGCGTCTCCCTGACTCCTCTTCGGCCTCCTCATCTTAGAGAAGCTGCTCCTTTAATGAAAGTGTCTGTGGTGATTTGTGGGGTCGGTAATCAGTCTGAACCAAAAACCACGACCTTTTCCCAGGACCTCCTTCGTCCATCAGAGGAGGAGTCCCAGAGAGGGGAGCAGGAATGCTCTCTGCACGTCCTCACAAACTGAACCTGGACAGTCAACACATCAAGAGCTACCAGTACTGCTATATACTGTATCATGCACTGTATGACACCCAGCACTGCAGTACTGCAGTACTCTGTGCAGGACTACAGCTGCTGACTGAGCTCAGTTTGACTCTGTCAATGATTCCTGCAGAGCCGCACCTGTGCAGGTGTGTGCAGGTATGATAATGACTAAATCGCCTATCTAGGGGCGATCGTGTGTCTTGTAATTGGAAGGTTGCTGGTTCGAGCCCCGGCTCACCCCTCGCTGAGCCTGGTATTGCCGGAGGTTTCTTCCTGTTAAAAGGAGGTTTTTACTTCCCACTGTCACCAAATGCTTGCTTTACCTTAGGATATAAAGCACCATGTGGCCTTTCCACAGTTTAAACACACACGGTTAGTGGGGTTAGTTTATCGATGATTCAGAATTACCCGTAGGTGTGAATGGCTGTTAGCCCTGCGTCAGACTGGCGACCTATCCAAGGTGTACCCTGCTTCTCAGCCTATGGTAAGCCCCCCCCATGCTCTGATTACGGCTCGCACTGGGGTGGCCGTCCTCTGGCGAGTTCGGCTGCTCTCGCCACTGGTTGTCTGGGACTGCCACCCCATCTGGGGCCTCCCTCCTTCTCCTGCTGGGACAGGCAGGCATCGCAGAGATGTGTGGCTTCAGGTCTTTGGTACTCTTGGTGGCTGCGGATGGTCCGATTTTCCTTCTGTCTGCTTCTGGTCCTTGGGGGGATTATTGCAACTTCCCACCCTCATCATCAAGTACATTTTGTGACACACATACACACACACAAACACACACACCACAAGGAGACTGCTGATGTCTGTCTTTGAGCTTTTAAACCTTCCTCTAAAGATGAGACTGAAGGCTGTGGATATGAAAGGGCTTCACTGAGGCAGCGTTCAGAGAGCATCTGTGCACAGGTGAGTCACAGGTGAGTCACAGGTGAGTCACAGGTGAGTCACAGGTGCGTCACAGGTGCGTGCGCTTGTCCACAGTGTGGATCGGACCGAAGGAGAAGCAGAAGAAGCTCAAGCCAGCTCAGAACAGACCCCATGCAGACAGAGGAGGCTGTGATTCTATCACCGTGACCTTTGACCTTATGATCTGAGGTCAGTGTGACCTACGCAGTCTGAAGGTCTCCTAAAGGTCACATGACAGCGATGCTGTTTGTTCCCACCAATCAGAGTGGGCAGAGAGGTCTGCAGATTTCAGTCGTTCCAGAAATTCATCCGAAAACAAAATGCCAGTACAAGTACTGCATAGATCTGTGACACTGTGGTAGTCTGTAGTACTCTCAGTACACTGTGGTTCCCTGTAGTACTCTCAGTACACTGTGGTAGTCTGTAGTACCTCTCAGTACACTGTGGTAGTCTGTAGTACTCTCAGTACACTGTGGTAGTCTGTAGTA